ATATTTGGAATAAAATATTAAGTCGGTGAAAATGTTTCTTCGTATTTTATATACAAATTGATGATATTTTTTTTTTCAAAGTTTAATTACATTTAATTATAATAATTATATATGTGCCATTTTATTCGACGACTTGTTGCCATCTTGTAGGCAGTGACAAAATCCCGTTGTTGTAGAAATCTTGGTATTTTTGATCAAAAAAATATGTGAGCGGTAGTTTGTAGCAGTAAAATATTTGTGAGGTAGAGAAGACTGTCAAGTCTTCTCTCGATGTCAACCTAAAACTAGCCAGAGAATTCTGAAGAGGCTATAACAAGTAAAAATCCGAGGGTGCAGGGTCACGACTATATTATAGTGGATGCATTAATACTTCCCAACCAAGCTCTCTCAATTTTTGCTGAGTGGCCAAAAAATGTGACCGGGGAAGGACCATGCTCTCCCAGAATACCAGCGTAAAATAACAGCTTAATGCTGATATGTTTTGTATGGTGAGTATAAAGAACTGGAGACCCATTTTACTGGAAAAGAGGAATTCCATCTTAGTCCTCACGGCTGACAACGCATCTGCATATTGATTCGAAAACGACGATAGATGTAGATGTTTATTCTGTTAGAGCGCGATACTTCCCTGGTCGAGCCGACCCTTTCATGCTACAAATATACTAGTAATATAGCTGCAGCATGGTTCTATCACGCAATATTTTTAACACCATATGAAAATCGAAAGTTTCCATGGTTTTGTTATTACAATGAGTAAGTAAACTTCTGACAGTGGCTAAACATTTTACACGATTAGTAATGGATAAACGTTATTTAGAACATTAATTAATATCAGGATAATTCTTGTTCTTAAACACAGAGAACAGGCAGATAATTTGATATCATTGTTTTGTTGTATTAAAGTAGACATATATTTGCCCATTACTTTCTTTGATAACGACGTACATTTCTATTTAAAGTAGAAGCAATAAATAAACTATTAAGATTACGACAGGTAAATGAAATTGTATACTTGGGGAGTGCTTTTAGCCGGGATGGAAGATGTGATTTAGATGTGGACAGGCGTGTCGCTGCCGGGAACAAAGTCAATGGTGCTCTGACTGCGTTAGTCAAAAGGCAAGGCGTAGTGAAGAGTGCACGCCTTGCATTACATAACGCAGTGTTGGTACCGACTTTGTTATATAGCAGCGAAACCTGAATATGCCTGAAGAAGCATAAAAGCAAGTTGAATGCAGTGGAGATGCGATCTCTTTGTAAAATGTGCGGCGTTACCATGGCCGACCGAAAGCGAAACGAAGAGATTCGCAATATGGCAGGTTTGAAAGATGACCTTATCACAAAAATTGATAAGGGCGTGCTTCGATGGTTTGGACACGTTGAGCGAATGAGTGAAGACCGAATGGTGAAGAAAATATAGTGCGAAAGTTAATATTAAAAGGTGTCGAGGTAGACCGAGACTAACTTTCGAAGACCATGTGAGCAAATTGCTTGAAGAGGGGAGAGTCAAGAGTACTCGGATACCTAGACGTGCATGTATGAAGAAGATAATGAATCTGAAAGAAGCGAAAGAGGTATGTAAGGATCGTGACACTTGGCGATCTGTTCTCTCTGGCTACCCCGTCAGGGATTGTGCGTGAAGATAAGTAAGTAAGTGAAAGTAAAGATTACGACAAAAACAATTTCCTATTTTAATTTGTCTAATGTGAGCGGTAGACTAGTAATCCTTTGGACTTTTTAATAAAATTACATTAGATTTAGCAGCTTTAAAAATAAAACGTCCTCACCTGAAGTTATGGGCGTCATGGGACACGTCGTTATGTTCTCACAACGTTGCCCGTCTATATTAAACGCTTCATTCTCTATGTACAGATATATGTAAGGTAAGCGTGTGTTGAGGTGGTACCTAGGCAACAAAATTATTTATTTAAGATGCTTTCAGAATGGGCGGCCATCAGACTGATTTACGCTACAGTTATTTGCTTTAACGATATCTTATTCGAGGGCATATTTTATTCAGCTACTTATCAATTATTCTACCTACACCTGCGACTGATGTTGGGGGTGTGTTTTATACTCTAAATAACTTCATAGATATTTTAAACCTATGTAGTTTCATGAGCCGTATATGTTATAAATTTATAGATGAGTAATTTAGAAAACCCTATTTAATAATTTATATATAATTTAAATGTCCCCGAATTTGGATTAGTTCAAAGGTTACCTCAGCCACACTTTAACCTACTGGTGCTTATACTGATATGTTCAATTTTATCTCTATAAATGTATAAAAATCAATTGCTGTGCGTTAGTCGCGCTAAAACTCGAAAATGGCTCGACTGATTCTGATTTATTTGTGTCTATTTGAGTGGGTTCCTGGATAGTTTATATTCACAATTGGACGCGGTAGGTGGTGCTGTTGTCGAGATCCAGAAATAAACCGTGCAAAGCCTGGGCAGACGCTAGTTTTTATTAATTTAAGAGTATAGTCATAATTATTTTACCAACAAAATTTATTATAATTATATAAGTCAAGATTTACTAATTCCTTACCTAATGGGGTTGTTATAAACTAAATTGCTTAATTCCGCGTAAAGAAAGAAAATGATGTGTACTGCCCAGTTTTAAGGGGACCTCCTACCCTCTATCAATCGCGCGCACTATACCCGTCGCCGTGAATTCTAAGACTACTACTCGTACCCCCAGCACCACCACACTAGGCACGACACACCACTCTCGAAAATACTACACGTGTTTCGCCTCTAGATGGGGCATCCTCAGGTGAAGTAGACTCTGCGACTCTGCGACTCAACAAACTAAAACATTTGTTGTTAATTTCACAGCAAATATCGGCTTACGTCAGGCGGTGATTGATCGCATGACGTAATCGCTCGCTACGTAATTGGACCGTGGTTGCGTCAGCAAGTAGTATAAATAGCAGTAGTTTCGGCTTGCCGCTCACTTAGCGGCCAGCCTCCGCAGAGTCTACTTCACCTGAGGATGCCTGGTGTAGAGGCAAAACACGTGTCGTATTTTCGAGAGTGGTTTGTCGTGCCTAGTGTGGTGGTGCTGGGGGTAGTGGTGCTGGGATTAACGGCGACGGGTATATTGCGCGCGATTGAGGGAGGGTGGGAAGTCCCATGGTCCCCTGGTCCTCTTAAAACTGGGCAGGACACATCATTTTCTTTCGTTACGCGGAATTAAGCAAATAAGTTTATAATAACCCCATTATAATGGATTTCCGCAAAGTAACGCCTGATTCTATCAATTAACTTCCTTAACTCTCTGTAACATTAATAGATAATGTCCTCCAGACCGAATTTCTGTCACGACGCCTAGCCTCAACGGAGACTAACCATTGCCTTTTTATAATCCTGTCCTGCGTCAATGCGCAGGACAGTATTATAGTGCCCAATTGTAAGAAAGAAGAAGAAAAAAAGAAAGACACGACCGGAGAGAGATCTGCCGCAGGCCCAACGGCGTCTCGTGCATTCCGAGGCAAAGGGTGAGGCACCCCAACTTCCTGACTCCGGGCAGCTACTAAGAATTTCTTGATGAAAAAACTCAATAAATGATTTTTGGCCCGACCCGGTATTTAAACCCGGGACCTTATGATCAGCAGTCACACTACTACAACCGCTAGACCAACGGGGCAGTCTCTGAAACATTATACATTATTTAATATACAAATAGCCCACGTAATATCTCTGATATTTTAATCTTTGTACATATAAAGCATCCACAGCTACATACGTCCGTACTGTAGGTTAAATTCATTGCATGAGGCCACTTCTTCTTTTTTTTAACGGAAAATAAGGAAATAAAACCGGGTTATCAGCATGTGATATTATTCCCACCTAATTTTAGTAAATATCTGCAATGCTTCAGGGAAAACGATTCCTTTACCCTATTTTGATCCTTGGATGACTTAGGGGTAGTATCAAAAAGATCTCATTCTTTCTCAGGCTTACATGATGGAATAAACTTCTCGTTAATTTTAAACGTAAAATAACCAGACCGGCGAAGAATAAATCTCAACTCATCAGCGATACGCAAGAGAAATCCTGCGGGCAAAGCTTGTTAGAGCAGTTTTACGGTATGATAACAAAGAATAAAATATACATTACAAGCTTCAATTCGTAACAAATACAAAAGACATAGTATTAAAAATATATCAGTAGCAACCTCACTGTTAAAGTAATCCGAGTCCAATGTTACTCATACGTGATATGATCGGTATAATTTTGGTAGTACAAGAACTAGAAAATTGAACACAAAATTTTAATTTAATATTAATAATAATAAGCATTTATTCATTACCACCAATAAAGTAAAATTGAGTATATTCAGAAATCACAAGAATAACATAATGAATGGGCTCTAGCTCAGCATAAATGACGATACTGGAACCAGAGTGATCTAAGTGACATTTTTGGCAAAAATGGTTCTTTTACACAATTGCAAAGAAAAATCATAATTCTTTCAGGCCATACTGATCTAAGTGCTTCCCAGTATTTTTTTCCTTGAGAAATCACAACATCTCACTATAGAATCGTTGCGATTTGCAAAATGGAGACATGCCAGACTGATCTAAGTAATGAGAGCGCACTTAGATCACTGTGGTCGCAAGTTGCTGGCGTTTATGGAAATCCAAACTGATCTAAGTGCAATAAAGAAATAATAAATTAATTGTGTACAAATAATTTACGTAATTTTTTTATTTAATATCTGTTTATATACTTAAAACAAATAATATGGTTTGATATTTTTACAAAACCACTGAATATTTTTAAACTGGCAACACAAACGCAGTCACGTATACAAAATCATACTCAAGACTTGGCCTTAAGTTCTAGATACCAGGCCATAAAGTCCAAAAAAAAAGTATACAAAATCAAAATCAATTGACGTTACTTGTCATATTGATTTAGGTTTAGTCACATGCGCTTGCGATTATCTTTTGTTTTATTAAAGATTTTAATTGAAAGGGTGTTACGTAAACAATGGATAACAGAAACAGAGCTAAAAGAATAGTGAATATGGCATTGCAATCTTCGCCGCCGCCATCTTCATCGACTTCAACAAATGAAGATTTTTCAAGTGATCATTCTTCTTACCATCCACAGCAAAATGTAGAAATTTCCACAGAATTAGAAGACAGTGAAGGTATGTATTGTTGTCGAATATAAAGGGCTGGAGAGATTTTACTTTTATTGTGTGATTTGCAGTTCGATTTCAGAGTCATATTTTTTCAAATATTGTTGCTTGACTTACACTTATGTTCTTTTAATCAATTAGCACGAAAATACTTATAAGGCTATACTCTAATAAACTACTTCCTTAATATAACCTATTTTTATAAGCAAATACTCGTCTGTTGCGTTTTTGCTTCATGTTTGAATCTAGCTTGGGCTTGGGTTACAGCTTATGCTGTTCTTTACAGATAATGAAGAAAGAAGAGATCCAGAGGGTCCTGTAGGTAACTTGGGGGAAATAAATCATCCAGATTCCGATGAACCTGTCAAAGGAAGAAAAAGAGTTCGGAATTTCGATAGATGGGCAAAGAATATAAGGAAGCGAAAAAGAACTGCAGGCCAAGAATATCGCAACGTACGAGGTAGTATTGTCCCAGCCAAAGTATTTACACCAGTTGTATGCAGCTGTAGGTTCAAATGCAGTGAGCAGGTTTCATCTGAAAATCAAGAAGCAATACACGTAATGTTTTATCAGCTCACCTCATGGGATGCTCAAACAACATGGTTGTGCAGCGCCATTATGACTTTAGAACCAAAACGCCGTAAGCAAAGACAAAATGCTCAAAATCCTAGCCGCATAAATTATGTACGCCAATTCATGCTGTTGGACAAAAGAGTTTGCAAAAGTTTCTTTTTAAAGGTCATACAAATATCTAACAAAAGATTAGATTATGCATTACGTAATAAAAAATCTGTTTCTGGAATAGCGGAAAGAGATAAGAGGGGACAACATGTACCTGCTCACAAGCTGTCAGATGAAAAGTTGAACTGGATTAAAGACCACATTAATAGTTTTCCGAAATTTGTGAGTCACTATGGAGAAAGACGATCAACACGAAAATATTTGCGCCCGGATCTTTCAATGAACAAAATGTATGAACTTTTTAAAGCAAAATGTGAGTCAGAAGGAAAACCAATATTGAAAAAGAGCGCCTACGTCAAAGTATTTACAACCGAGTTTAATATACACTTCTATATCCCTAAGGCAGATACTTGTAAAACCTGTGATATACTCGAGATAGCAGTAAAGGCGGAAGAAGATATAGAAACATGCCTAGCTATAAGGGTACAAAAAGATCAGCATATTAAACTTGCAGGCGAAGTAAGAAACATATTAAATGACTGTAAAAGTAAAGTCAAAACTGAGGAATCGTTATTAGTAGCTACTTTTGATCTGGAACGAACCCTGCCTCTTCCTTATTTGAATACTGGTGAGGTATATTATTTAAGACAACTGCAAATGCTGAACTTTGGTATTCATGCTTATACTAAGGAAGGAGAAAAAGTTCTCATGAATATGTGGTCAGAACATTGTGGGGCCAGAGGCTCACAAGAAATTATGTCGTCACTTCACTACTTTTTAGAAGATTCCGTGCCGGACACTGTCAAATCACTGTGTTTTTTTAGCGACTGTTGCTCCGGGCAAAACAGAAACTGGAACGTTTTACACTTTATGATGTTTCTGGTTAATAAATCGCCATATCTAGAATCGATCACCATGCATTATCTCGTCAGTGGCCATACTTACCTGCCTAACGATACCGACTTCTCTTTTATAAGTCGAGAACTAAAAAAGAAGACTGATATCTATACACCAGAAGATTGGATGAAGCTCGTCCGAGACTGCAGAAAACAAAAACCTTTTACTGTGCGAGATATGAAAAATAAGTTTCTAGAAAGTGGCGTTAGGTACAGCTTATAGGCCCCCCTGGCTCGATGTAAATCTATTTTTAGATGCACTAACTGACACAATAACTTGCATGTCTTCCTTTGACCACATCATTATATTAGGCGATTTTAATATTAACTTGTTGCTTAACAATCATCATAACACAAAAAAATTACACTCTTTTTTGAATACACTCAGTCTTACGCAACTTGTAAACTCGCCAACACATTTTACCGAGTTAAGCTCATCCCTGATCGACATTATCTGTACAGACCTGAGCGCACGTCATGTCACCGTGGAGGCAACAGGGACACTACATGGGCATGCTATGGTGTTTTGCGAGTTCGACGTATACCGAGATAAACCAACCCACAAATGTATTTATATGCGGCCAATAAAATACATTTACTATGATAATTTAAAAAAAGATCTGAATTCTATTCGTTGGGACTTAATAGCACAATTACCTGACGTAAATCATATTCTAAATACATTTAACAGATCTGTCCTCTGTGTCTTTGATACTCATGCACCGTATAAGAAATGCGTATTCAAATCTCGACCCTACCCATGGATGACACCTAACCTGAAGTTCATGATATCTTTAAAAAATAAAGCCTTGTCTGATTTCCGTAAAACTAAAGACGTTACAAAAAAGGAATATTTTAAAACTTTAAATTCATTAGTAAATAAGACAATATATTTCGAAAAAGTTGCTTACTTTAATAATAATATCAATAGCCAAAAAAGTCGACCAAAACATCTATGGAAAAGTCTTAAATCTATTATATTACCTTTGAAAAAACCTAAAGAGCTGTCCTTACATTTCACTGACGCTGAAAAAATTAACGACCATTTCCTAAATATTCCCGGTAGTTCAAAGGTTAATCTGTCTCAATTAACTTACTTTGAATTTAATAAATATTGTCAAAACAGTTTTAGCTTAGAACCAACTAGTGCAGAAGCCGTATTTAAGGTAATCAAGAGTTTACATTCCAATGCTCAAGGATACGACGAAATAACACTGAATATGCTGCTTTTAACATGCTCTGACACATTGGATGTTATTACAGCCTTAATAAATACATCTTTCGCGACTTCTCAGTTTCCTGAACTATGGAAGATAGCTGTAGTTCGACCAATTCCTAAAAATAGTAATCCATTAGATATCAAGGATTTAAGACCTATAAGCATTTTGCCGTGTCTTTCCAAGGTTATAGAAAAAATTGTATGCCGCCAGATAACAGATTACATCGAAAAACACGACATATTGCCAAAGACACAATCTGGGTTCAAAAAAGGTCGAGGAACTGTATCCGCTTTACTAGATGTAACAGACAATATTCTACAAGCACAGGATCAGGGATTGTGCACGTTACTTGTATTATTAGATTTCTCACGAGCATTCGAATCAATTAATATTTCTCTGCTTTTATCAAAATTAAGCTACTATGGATTTGACATTAAAACGGTTAAATGGTTTAGCAGTTATCTCACTAACAGATTACAGGTTGTTGAATTAAAAAAACCTGACGGCTCACCGACACGCTCAAAGCTTGCGACGATTAACAGGGGAGTACCACAAGGATCAATTCTAGGCCCAATATTATTCATCCTATACTCTGCGGATATCACTAAACATATATGGAAATGTAAATTTCACATCTATGCTGATGATATTCAAGTTTATATATCTTTTAAAGCGGAAAACATGAACACAGCCATAATAGAATTAAATGAGGATTTACAGCGAATCGCCACATGGGCTGAGAACAATAGTCTTGTTCTTAATCCGGCTAAAACTAAGTACTTGTTGATAGGCCACAAAAAAGGACTAAATATAATTCAAACCCAGTCGACTGCACTAGCTCCAATGCTTCTTGGCATATCAATTGAGCGCGTGTACGAAGCTCGAAATCTGGGTCTGAACATGGATGCAGGGTTGCGATTCGAGAATCATGTGGCAGATTGCGTGCGAGCTTGTTTTTACAGATTGAAGACACTCTACAAAATTAGACCGTACCTCAATGTCGAACTACGTGAACAGCTAGTAGAAACGCTCGTGCTCTCGAAGCTGAACTATGCAGACACTGTTTATGGGCCCAGACTGCTAGCTCGTACACAGCGACTAGTACAAAGGGTTCAAAACGCCTGTGCTAGGTTTTGTTATAAAATTCCTACGCGTAGTCATTTAACACCGTTTCTTAATAAACATTACGTATTGAAGATGAAATCTAGACGCAAACTCCACCTGGCATGCCTTCTCTTTGGTGTCGTGAAGTATAAAAATCCACCATACTTACACGACAAACTAGCTTTGGTCGCGCGAAACAGACAAGGTAACAACAGACTGTGTTCTCAACAATTATCTGTGCAGCGTCACAGAACAGCAGCTTTCAGGGGTAGTTTTAGATATGCGGCTACAAAATGTTGGAATAATATTCCACCTCCAATCAGGAGTTTAAAAAATCTCCACCAGTTCAAAATCAAGCTAAAAAAATTTCTTATTGATGCACAAATACAACATGGCAATATCAACCGAGAAAGCTCCTTCCTATAACGCATTGTACGGTTATTAACAAAATTGTCTGTATATTTTTCTCATTTTTGTTTATTATATTATTACTAATCCATTTTAATTGATAATTGATAGTAGTTGTTACCACACACAATTATGTATAAGGTTATATTTAATGTCTTATATTGTACTTTTTTTTTGCTGCTTTTTGCTTTATTTTAAATTTTGTGTTATAATTATATAGAAGGTTTAGGCTTTTTTCGTTTTATCGAAGGACTAAACTACACGTAACAGCTGTGCTACGTTCGTGACGCCAATGAATAGGTTTCTTGGCTGAAAATCAGCGCTGTGTGAGGCCATACTCACACAACACATGCTGAGCCAACCCCTTTTCGGCACAATGCGACCTTTTTTATATATATCAATATGTGCTTTTACTTTCATGTGTATGCCTGCTGCTAACTGTAACTGCCTGTGCTGAATAAATGTTTTTTCTATTCTATTCTATTCTATTCTATTATGAAAGCCTCACAACACTATTCAAAGATTATCAGATTGTATTAAGAGAAGGCGCAAAAATTTCTAAGATGCGGAAGATAAAGTTTTGTAAAGGTTCAAGTATAATCAGTTACAATGATGACTACACTGAAACATATGAAACAGTTGATTCAAAACCAAATGATATGGATTCTGGAACTTTTTTTGTAACTTAAAGAATTATATACCAGAAAAAGCCCCTGAAACTAGACTAATATCGTATCAAAAAATGCAAGATATTAGAAAAACTCTAAAATTCGTACCTCCTATCCATCATCAGTTTTACTTGACATTGCCACATGTTCCTAGAAGAGGTGGCAATCAGGAAGCACAAGATGATGTAAATTTTTTGCCTGCTGTATTTGGTGATTATTAATGTGATTTTTCTTACGACATCAAAGTGAAAACTTACACTATTAATTCATTTTTTTTTAAATTTGTGATCTGCCATAGTGATCTAAGTGATTTTTTTTTGTAAAACTACGATTATTAGTTTTAATAAATAACTCATACTGATAAAAATTGATATTTTTTTATTTAAAACTTATTAGAAGTACATATAACAAAAAAATAATAATAAAAAGCCTATAGATTTCCATTAATAACGCGTAACGCATTTCCTTCATTTTCTCAGAAACATACTATTGTGCCCTAGATCACTCTGGTTTCAGCGTCGTCAAATGTTGAAGTTGCCTACAACGCTGTTATTCTGCCAGTGCCCAAGATATGAACAGTAACGTACGCGCGCATCCCTGCTCATATTGTATTTAATTAGAACTGTTCACATTAGGGAACATACCGTGGATCCCTGAGTATTAGCCATTTCAAATTAGTAATCAAATATATATTTTTATTACCATTATTTATCTTTTTTTTAACATTTTTTTAAAATAAATCATTATTACAACAATAGTCCCGAAACCTTTCAGCTCGAGTTACGAAACCGGCGCAGTGCCTAGAAGACTGCAATGAAGTGAACGATATGAATGACAAGCTCGTGGAAACTGTCCATACGGTCGGAGCTAAGTTCTGCAAGACCCGCCGCACAAGAACACAAAAACTCTCCGATCACACTCTTAATCCCATGGCTGTTAGACGGGAAATGAAGCCACATTCTTCAACAGATTTTAAAGCATACAGGCAACTGAACAGACAGATCTCCAAATGCATGCGGCGGGACTTACGCAACTTCAATACAGCTTGTATTGAAGAAGCGATTGAGCGGAACCAAGGCTCCAAAGTCTTTGCCAGAGATCTGTCTGCCAGAAAGAGCCAACTATCAAAGCCGAAGACCGAGTGTGGCAGCATCGTTTCCTGGACACCTAAGATTTTGAGTGAGATTGAGAGGTTCTATGGGCAGCTGTACACGTCATTGTTGGAGCCACACGCAAGAGTAAGTACCGATCCAAGAGCGCGTCTTATCCAACACAATTCCGAAGATATCCCGGACGTTAGTCTGAGCGAGATTAGATTGGCTCTCCAGCACCTTAAAAACGGAAAGTCTCCGGCGAGGATGGAATTACAGCAGAGCTTTTGAAAGCGGGTGGAAAACCGGTACTTGAAGTCCTTCAGAAGCTCTTTAATTCCGTCCTCCATGGTGGCACTACTCCGGAGGCGTAAAGTAGAAGTGCGGCGGTCTTGTTCTTCAAGAAAGGCGACAACGCTCTCTTGAAGAACTACAGACCGATTTCCCTTCTGAGTCGCGTCTACGTGCTGTTTTCGAGAGTCATTAGGAATGGTCTCGCGCGCCGACTTGACGACTTCCAGCTTCCCGAACAAGCCGGTTTCCGAAAAGGTTTTAGCACCATAGACCACTCACATACCCTTCGGCAAATTGTACAGAAGTTCGGGGAGTACAATTTTTTACCACTATGTCTGTATGGCGTATATGGACGTCGAAGTTCTTGAAGAGTATGTTTACCTTGGACAAATAGTCCGACTAGGTAAGTCTAACTTCTACCGAAACTTCAACTCGGCTGGGCAGCGTTTGGGAAACTATGACACATCTTCTCGTTAGACATACCTCAAAACCTTAAAATGAAATTGTACAACCAGGGCGTGTTTCCAGTGATGACTTACGGATCTGAGACGTGGTCCTTCTGGCCGTATGAGGAAACTCAAGGTTGCTCATCGAACTATGGAGAAGGCTATGCTCGGGGTTTCTCTGCGTGATAAACTTAGCAATGAGGATATCCCCTGTAGCACCAGAGTAATCGATATAGACCAACGGATTAGTAAGTTGAAGTGGCAGTGGCCATATAGCTCGAAGAACCGGCAACCGATAGGGAAGAAAGGTTCTCGAGGGGCAGCCTCGTACCGGTAGCGAAGTGTAGGGCGACCTCCCACGAGATGGAGTGACGACCTGGTAAGTTTTGCAGGAAGTCGATGGATGCAGATGGCTCAGGACCGTGCTTTGTGGCATTCCTTGGGGGAGGCCAATGTTTAGCAGTGGACTTGTGAAAGGCTGTAATGATGATACAATAATATAAGTAATAATAAGTAACATAATTATAAAATAATATTGATTTCAACAAGCCTTAATTCTTTAATCTCATATAAGTTGTTTCCCCACCTACAATATTAGAGCAATGTTTATTTATTTATTTTTTAAGTATTTACACGGCGGTGCTGCAATCTGGTAAAAATAATCCGATTATGACAGTATTTCTTCTCTTAGTAAGTGACGTATATTATTCTTTAAGCTTGAATTACTTGTCATAGTGTGTAGTGGTGGTGGGAGATCATTCCAACACTTTGTTGCCATAAACTTAAAACTGCCTCGGAAAGCCGATATTTTGTCTGTAGGGACGCAAAAACTTTAGAGCATATTCGAGTTTAATATAAATGTTGGTCATCATTATCATATTCTGGATTCTTTGTATTTATCACGCCGAATAGCAAAGAAGCATAAAACAGTTTGAAATTAAACATTATACCTGCAGTGTAGGTTTCTTGGGTATACCCCACGGTATGCAGCGGAATGAACGTAGCATGTTTGGAGACGACAATCACGAAACACTCGCTCGCAGATGATCTATTATTATTTTTGACATATAATACGCACACTAGCCTTATTAATGGCTGATAATTTTTCTCTCACCATATTTCACTAGTTGATACTGAGGTAAAGTTTTTTGTTACACAATGTCATTTAATTGAGAAGTTAGTTTTTCATAAAAGTATATCGACTTCAAAAGTATTATATTAATACACAAAACAATGCCTCAATGTTTTATTCTTTAACTGGTTGCACATTTTAACTCTTTTTTTAAATTTATCTACTTTGATGAATATCTGTGGTTTGGTTTATTTATTTTTTATTTTATTAATGTAAAATGTAGCTAATACCACAGAAAAAAACATTAACCTTTACATTATTCACACAAATTAACTTCCCCGCTATGATATCTGTTAAATATTATATTAAATATTAATATTATACACCAATAATATTATATACCTCACTTATAAGTGGGTATATATATATATATATATATATATATATATATATATATATATATATATATTTATAATAAATTGTCAGTGGTGCTATTACCTCCTACTTAGAATATACTCCTGCCTACTTCGCTTTTGGCACTTGATTATTTGACATAAATCTTGCGAGTGCAATAAAGGGTATCCAAAACGGCTATCGAGCAATTTGGCTCGACTTATTCACCATTTTGGTCACGTTCCGGCAGAAGTTGTGGCTATTTTAAGACAGAATATGATTCCAACGCTTTCTGTGACATTTTCGGGAGAGCCCTTTAAGTAATTGGCAACTTCGGATTTGATTTATTCGAAGCGCGAGCCGTTGAGATGATTTGTTGGATTACGTAGTCGTTATGGACGATTGATTGGGCGATACCAGAGTACTTTTAATAACCGATTGCGCGAAATCCTTTATGAATATTTATTATTACATCGACAGTTTGTAAGCTTTAAACGTTACAGCCTATTTACATCATACTTCTGGGCACAGGCATCCTCTAATTTCGTGAGAGGATTTTAGAGCAAGGAAATGCCGTTTAGGTGAACTTCACATGTCTTCGAATTTTTTATTCTCATTTTTCAGATAGGCAGGTTCCTCACGACGTTTCCCGTCACGTGGTAATTCAACATTTAAAATAGCAATTAAAAATTTTATTGGTGCAGGTGGGGATTGAACTCTAGTTGCTCGCGTATATTTACAGCGAGCGCTTAGACCCTGAACTATCACGGCTCTAAGCTTTTAACAAGAATTGAACATATAATTAATCATTTCAAATTCATACGAATCTAAAGATCTACATTGTTTTTTTTATAGTCGTCGTTTTTGATCCAGTGTTTGTAAACGCAACAAATCTTATTGTTCCGGGTTCGAATCATGGGTCTGGTCAAAATCGGTTATTGGTTTTTCCAGCAAGAAATTCTCAGCAGCAGCCTTGAGTTAGGCAGTTGGCAGTTTTACACCTCCGTACCACGAAAAGTATGTAAAGTCGTTGGTCCTGCGCTTGATCTCTTTT